GACATGCACGTAACCGCTCTTGTGGCTTCCCATGGCTTCCCCATCAGAAAGTCATTTTTTTGCGGGGAAGCAAAAAATCTGCAGGGGGCATAAATTCTGTGCATGGGTAGTGGCACAAAATTCCCCCTGGAGTAATCAATCAGAGTAGGAAAGAATGTATGAAACAGATCATAAAACATCACCTGGGTTTTTGTAGCCATGTTAGACAAAAATTGCATTCCTATGGAAGTCCTTCATTAAAGTGTGAATAGGGCATACAAAATCAGAAAGGAACTGCACCTTTTAATTTTATATTAGCAGCAGTATTACTAACAAACAGTATAGATCTATACTACAGTGTGCCACAGCATTAAAGACTTCTCTTGCTTTGCCTTTTCACAACACTTATGTGAGTGTGGTGGGTGCATATTCTCCCTGTCCCAGAGATTAAGAAGCTGAGACGTACAGCTTGATTTTGAGATGTGCTGAGTACCTGAAGTTCACCTTAGAATTATAAGGAGAAGAATTGGGTCCATACAAGAGTGAAGGGATTTACTTAGAGCCAAACAGTAAATCAGTGGCTGAGCCAAAGCTGGAATACAGGAGTCCCAGACGCCCAGCGCTATGTTCAATAACCAGCATCCAAATTTTATTCCCAAAAATACTAGATGAGAAAAAATGAATAACTGAAGCCCGCAGACAGAGAACAAAATCCAATAAAGTGAATCCAGAGTTCACAGTGTTTCTCTAAATCCTGGGTTATTTAATTCTGGAGTCTGTAAGTGGTGCAGCTGAAGCAAGTTATTATCCAACTGGACCATAACAAATGATCTGTTTCAGCCTGAGTAGTGGACAATTCACAATTCCTCTGATTTGACTCTCCAATAAAACTGCCAGATTCTGAGACCCAAACTCCAGTTTAGAAGCACGTCACCCCACAAGTTGTAGCACTGAATTCAGTTGGGCCGTTCGTGGAGTAATGTGCTACTCAGCATAAGTAAGGAGGCAAAATCTGGCCTGAAGTAAAGAATGTCAGTAACGAAGATGTTCCTTTGGAAATTTACCCACAATCTACAAGGAAACAATAGAGAAAACTACCTCAAAATTCAGTATTTCTTCCAAGGCTGTCACACACTGTCACGTGTGTTCGCTTTACAGAGAGCAGAGAACACATTTATTTTTATTCCAAAAGTGTTTGTTTATGAATTGGCAAAATAATTTAAATATACAATTTTTATCAGAAGAGAAAACAAAATATATCAGTAGTGTATATATGCCTTGGCCTGATTCAGGGCCATCTGTGACTTCACAGACAGCTGAGCTTTCAAAACAGAACAAAATAAAAACCTTGTAAAATAGTCTCCAAAGCATCCTCTCCCCATCCTCCTTGAAGTGGTGATGTGTGTTCAAGTGTACAGGAAGTTGTACTCTTCATTCCCTGCGCGAAAACAAGCCTTTCATGGAGGAAGAAAATTGCACTCTGTAAATTCCAATACTTTAGATAAATCCAATGTAACATCCTGATCCCATAGATATTTATGCATATGCTTAACCTGAAGCATGAGAGTGAGTAGTCACATTGAACTCAATGGCATGTGTATAAATGTTTTCAGGATTAGGGATTGTAAAGAATTTTCAAAGTATTCATTTTAACTTCCTAAATTGTATAATATCTTTTACGTGCCCCTGAACAACCAGTCAGAGTGAGTCCAGCTTTTTATCCTGCCTCTAGACATATCCAGGACCTCAATAGTGGCAACTCAAGGCTCTGCTTCCGTAAGAGAGTCCTTCATAAATATCCATCTTTTAGAACACTGCAAGGAAGTCTCCCCTTCCATTTACCATTGCGACCACCATTGTTCCGCTTTGATTTGTGTCTGGCAGGGTCAGCTCTGTTGGCAGGTTTTGCCATTGATCCCACTGTCTCCATATGTAACAGCTAGAGCTGGAGTAGGGAAATTTGTCATCTGGGTAGCCATCAGCTTGGTTCAGGGTCAAGAACTGCAGAGATCTCTCCTTTCGACACCTTCCTCATTTGGTTTGAGTGTTGCTCTTTACAACACATACACTGCTCGGCACTCATGGGAAAGGCAAGTCAAATAAATCCTACTTCTACACTACAAAAACTAAAGTATTAGGGAACCAGTCACTGTTTCTTGACGTGATTAAATCATGGTTCAATCTTGTCTGGGAGGTGGGGTTGCCACCTCTGAGGTACAAAAACCCCCCAGGACATCCAGGATGATCCTGAGCCCATAACATTGGACAGATGGTAGTGTGTACTGAGCACCCGTACAGATTTCAAGGGACAGCTACCTTGAAAAAGGGATGAACATGGGCACATAGCAACCCTATAGGGTAGATTAGACCTAGCTTTTTTAATTGCACTAAACACCAGTGATAACACCATAAAGTCCCACATATACACAGAAAATAGAAAAGTGTTAGGATAGCCTAATTTTGGCAATTAATTGATCTTTGATTATTAGCGATAAATATGCCCAATGACCTGTGATGGGATGTCAGATGGGGTGGGATCTGAGTTACTACAGAGAATTCTTTCCTGGGTGTCTGGCTGGTGAGTCTTGCCCACATGCTCAGGGTTTAGCTGATCGCCATATTTGGGGTCAGGAAGGTATTTTCCTCCAGGGCAGATTGGCAGAGGCCCTGGAGGTTTTTTGCCTTCCTCTGCAGTGTGGGGCACGGGTCACTTGCTGGAGGATTCTCTGCACCTTGAGGTCTTTAAACCATGATTTGAGGACTTCAATAACTCAGACATAGGTTAGGCATTTGTTACAGGAGTGAGTGGGTGAGATTCTGTGGCCTGCGTTGTGCAGGAGTTCAGACTAGATGATCATAATGGTCTCTTCTGACCTTAAAGTCTATGAGTGTCAGGGCTTTAGTATGTTGCATCTGGGTCCCTCAGCATGGTAGTTTGTTATGTAGAGGGGATCAAAATATAAAGAGTAACATTGATTGAACAACACCCAGGAACAGTTTCATGAGTGAACCAAATTACTTTGGAGTATTTGTTTGCACCATGATTTCTGAAATGATAAAAAATAGCGATGTGATTTGGAGCTGTGGTAACTGAAGACAAAAGGAAATATGATCACCTCTTGTAGTTAGACAAGATTGCGTCAGCTCAGAATTTCTAGCTGAGTTTCTTGGGTTCTGAAGTCCTTGGAGTGTGGTGTTAGGGAGTTATTTTCAAATTAACTGTAACATGCAAACATATTGCTTGTACACGATAGTGATGTATGCTAATTGGAATACTGAAGGGAAAAAAAATTATTTTAGACAAGTTAATGAGCACATGAGAACTTGTGAAATGTTTGCATGAGCATCCCGCTTGCTTGCCCGAGAGAATGCATTTCTACAGCTGTGAGGTTTGCGGTTCATTATTATTTAATTTGGGCCAAATTTTGAACCCCATACATTGGTAAACAGATACTTGCATAAATAGCCCAATTGAAGTACATGGGACTGCTCATGTGAATAATTGCTCAACAATGTGAATAAAGGCCTTGCAATCTGGCTGTATTTTATTATTTATTAATGCTTACTTAATTTATTAGTTTTATTTCAAATGGTGAAATCCAAAGTAAAATGAATTCCTATTCAGTATAATGGAGAAATATAGTACCATATGTTGTGCCAATAAGGCTCTGTCTGTTATAGTGCTAATAGTTTTTCCAGGGCCTCAAGACGTTTTATAGCATTTTTAGCAGCAATTTCTGCACTGATGACTAACTTCCCCAGGACAGATAATTACATTCTTTGGGAGGCTGTGAAGCGACAGAGAAAGGAAAAAGAATAATATTCAAGAAGCTATTGAATTCACGGATTTTAATGCCAGAATAATTAATATGTGGATGAGAAATGAACCAACTGGAGCAATATCTAATGACCACAAAAATGTAGTGTTCTTTTTATGATGCTGGAAACGTAAACACTTCATATTTGACGTTATTTTATATACATTTTGCTGACACAATATGCAAGTTTCTATCAAAATATAGGCATGTTCCTGCACTGGCTAATGACAATGGCACAATTGTCAATTGATCTCAGTTTCAATAGGGGGATGTAAAATCTCACTGGTAGTAAATAGATTGCTGATCCAAAACCCATTGTAATCAGTGGAAGTTTTTCCATTGACTTTAACGGTCTTTGTATCAGGGCTTTAATGTGAAGAATATTGTTGTGCAAAATGTATATCATTATCTTGAAAGCCAACAATAAAAAATATTGTCTTGATATTTTAAAATCTCAGTTGTGTTAAGACTGGGTATGTTCATGAAAACATGTTAAATAACAATTTCTTAAATAAATGGCTCAATTATAGAGAACCAACCCCATTTTACAGACGAGTAAACTGAAGCAAAGAGAAATGAAGTCCAAGGTCAAATAGTGTGTTAGCAGGAGGCTGGGGAATATAATTTTTAGTCCTCTGCTTGAGCCTAAAATCCTTTTGGACTGAACAAAGTTTTACGTTGCACTTTTTTTTTTCCGGTTCTGATGGTTTGGTAGTTATTTTAATGGGATTAATTAACTGGATGCTTTTATATTTTCTTTCACAAGGCCCCCTTGATTCAGTCCACTGAAGGCCTGATCCAACACATACAGCAATCAAAGGGAGTCTTTCCGGTGATTTGAAGGACATTGGATCAGGTTCATAGAGCCAGATCCTGCAATGTGCTGAATGTTTTCAACTTTCATTGATTCAAAGGGACCTGACGGTTCTCAGGACCTTGGAAGACTGGGCCATGTGAGGGGATGCAGATCCTACTGCTGGCAGCACACCCCCTATTGAATAAAAATCAGAAGAACATAGAGATCTCAGAAAGGGGCTTTCATGAGAGAGTATTTTCCAACCCAGGTTGCATAAGGAAGGTGAATCGAGGGGATAAACGTTTTTAAGCAAAATATGTTTTTATTAAGCTATTTAACATAATGGCAAGTCTGCAGCATATTCATATTCATCATCTTTCATTTGTTCTATTGTTTTTGTGATGAAGGGATCATCTAGAAGCTGTGGGTCACATATGCAGTCTTAAGGATGCTTTTGGCTACGAGAACCCATCTGAAATAGCAAATCTAATCTCTGCAGAGAAGTTTGAAGCAGCTCTGGCTATTCATCTTTATAAAGGAGGCAGACTTCTGCAAGGTAATCCTCTTTCAATTTAGCAGTAAAAATAACCCTTAAAAGAAAGAGACGGAAAGAAAGCAGGAATGAATACAAATAGCTACAAATGGAAAATGTGCATAAACCCATATATAATGTAGTTATTCTGTTTATCCATTTCAACAAATGTTAATAAACATTGAAAATGTTTCTCTGTGGGAGACTTGATCCAGAGCAGAGAGAACTAAGTAACTGCACTTTTAAAGGGCACAATGTGTTTTATAATTTAAATACTTTTACTACAGTAAGATAAAAGCATTACAGTAACATTAAGATACTTTCAACAAATGTGCTCTTTCAGAGGATGATAATAGCTTGGCTAAGTATAGCAAAGGTCAAACAGAAGAAAGGAGAGAGGCTAATTTGATTTTCTGTTGAAAAATGAATCATGTTTTCTAGACATGAAATAACTTTGAGTTGTCAGTCATGCCAGCTAAACTGCAGGAGACAGCATGTTAGCTGACAAATAATAAAATCTTCTATTATAACTGGCCAAGTAGAACAGAATTTTAGTCTGCCATTAATGACATGCTAGCAACACTGGCTTCCAGAATTACAGACAGTGTCAGCAGCTGAAATTGCAAATGTAGTCCCATTCTTGAGCTCATTTTCAGATCATCCAAGTCTACACATTGGGTCAAATGTAGATAATTGATTACTTTCAGCAGACTAGGAAATAACATTAGTTTTCAGGGCCCCAAAGTCTCCATCTTTCTGGTACTAAGAGTTTCAAAGCTTAATTTATTACTGTTAGTATGCATTTGTACAGTGTATCACAATGGAACCCTATTTAGACTGGGAACTCTGGAATACAAATAAATAAATAATAATCTCTGTTAATCTGTGTATTGTGATTTTTATTCTGTGACAAGACAAAATGGTTACAGCAAAGGCTGATGAAAGGGGTTAAGACTGATCTTACATGCTATTTTAGGTAGAGGAGTGAACATAAGGTTGGATTTTCAAAAGTGCTCAGTGTTTGGCCTAACTCTCTACTCCAATACTGATTTTGATGGAAGCCAAGTTCAGTTCATGCTAAGTACTTAGAGAAAAATCTTACTAATCTAAATACATCACAGTCCCACTGTTCCTAGAAACAGCTGGAATAGCAAACAGAATTATATTGAAAAATAAAATGGAAATCCACAAAAAAAAAAAAAGACACAGTAATGTGATTACCAGGATGATTGAACTGACAAATCTAGAAGAGATTACTGAGTGTTTGAAGGGGGGAAAAAAACAGAATGTGGAGGAGATGCAGTAATTGATTTCAGAAGTTTAGTAATTGGCATGTTAACAGTAACATCTAGTCCCTGTATATTTCATAATAATAAAAAACTAGTAATAATTGAAAAACATTTACCAGCATAGTGCCATATGTGAATATTTTGATCCTGATCCTGTAACCATAACTTACATGAGAAAGGGCTGCAGGATGGGGTTCTATAGTAAAATATTAACAACGATGAGTAGTCAGGGCCTTAGTTATCTCTCCTCCAAAAGATGGTGTCTTCAGAAGCATGTTGCTCCCAAGCCATGTTTGTACGTCGGTCTAATGTTCAGAGGAAAGAGTGCCATCTGCTGAATCATTGACACCACTACCATCCAAAGGTAAAAAAAGGAGAAAATAAAAGCCCTTTTGCAGGGGCGGGAGAGGAGGGGAACCACATCATCGTCCCTTTGCGGTCCTCTTTAAAGCATCTTTAAATGTACAGTATTATGGTGCTTTAGAGACAATGGTGCTTTAGAGACAAAATGACAGACCTCTACCCCAAAGGGCTAATAATCGATAGCTACAAACACCAGGCAATAGACAGTTGGTAAAGGTTCCTCTACCCTGACCTATAGAACTTCACAATTCCGTGTGAAACCCACAAAATCAGTAGCCTAGATGACAGATCTGATAACTGCATCCCTCTCTTCCAATGTTGCTAGAGACTTGTTTGTTCTGCCAAAGTGTAATCTCATTTATCTGGAATTTAAAAGCATGTGTGTTGTAATTAGCAGCAATCAGGTTGTTATTTGTAGCTTAATGAAGTTTAAAAGTGACCACTTAATTGTTTTCAGTGCTCTTGTAATTCTTAAAGAATCGAGAATAATATCCTCTGTCTGCTATGTTGATTAGTTTTTTGGTAACTTGCTATGTACTAAAAATCATCTGGTTCCAAATAAACAAATGCTATTAGAATGGAATCTCATTTTTATCACAATTTTTCCCCTCTAAGTAATCTTAGGCCATGTTCACATTAAGGCTTTAGCATCAATGTAGAGACGCAGATGTAGTTGTCCTGTGTAAACTTTGACACCCTACCCTTATACTGGTGCAAGTCCCAGTTTACACCAGTGCAGTATGTCTACGAAAGGTTTTTGCACCAGTGCAGTATATTGATGTAGCTATACCTCTGACTACAAACTTGAGTGTTGACAAGGCCTCATTCACAGCAGCCCCAATAAAATAAGCTGTTGGCACGCCCAGCACGCTTACAACTGGTGTTGCACCAGCACATTTTGGGACTCCTGAAGTGCATTTCGTATAGTGACCAAACATATGCAGAAGCTGCTTCTGGATAATCTGTAAACCCGAGCAGGTGCTGTATCATGGGGCAGAGTTAAGCAGATTGGTTGATCCAGAGCAGCTTCAGTTCTCTAGGGAGAAACTATAGCAGACTTCACCTATTCTGTCTTATCTCAGCTAAAGACGTTTTCTCAAATGTAACAACTAACTGGGTCAACCAATGCTTGTAAAATGCTTGGAAGGCAGCTGAGCAAGGAAACTCAGGCTGTTCTAACGAACTATTTATTGCAATAGCCTTTTGGCTGAGTATAGGCAAGGCCTAAGAAAACATTACAGGTAGATAATAGACTAGCATGCATGTAATAGAGTATACGTATTGCATGATCCCATTAAAATTCAAGCTTAACCAGGTGTCATCAAAGGGCTGGTCTACACTGGCGGGGGAGGGGGTCGATCTAAGATACACAACTTCAGCTACGTGAATAGCGTAGCTGAAGTCAAAGTATTTTAGATCGATTTACCTTGGGTCCTGACGGCGCGGGATCGACGGCCGCGGCTCCCCCATTGACTCCACTACCGCCGTTTGTTCCGGGGAGCGCGTTCGGGGATTGATATATCGCGTCTTAACGAGACGCGGTATATCGATCCCCGATAAATCAATCACTACCTGCTGATACAGCGGGTAGTCTGGACGTACCCAAAGGACTGTGCTGATGAGTGTAGAAACATAGCTTGGAGATATACACTGTTGTAGGAATAACATCTCATGTTCACCAATGCTATTCACTAGTACTTTCTTCAAGTCTTAAA